GAGGAATTCAGAAGAGTTCAAAAGTAGTTGATATATGGAGTAGGAGATGCAAACCACGTTGTTGGAAATGGACCATATTATGTGCATTTCAGTGAGTCTTCTCCTGTGTGACTGTAGAAGGGCATCGTGAGAGGGGCATTTGTTTTTTTTTTAGCACTGACCGTGTCAGGTTACTTTTTTCTTGATATATGTATTTAATTTGGAGAGTAAAGAGATCACTAAAAATAGAATAACAGTTATTTTGATTACAGCCATTTCAATTGCTCATCAGCATAACAATGAAAAATGGAAGAGTTGCTGCGACGTTGCCAAGCCGTCATCTTGTTTAATAGCTTTCTGTGAATGTAGCATATACACCGGCCAATTACGAAGACGAAGCATTGTAGACGGGATGCACAGTGCACCTTTTTTTTAATGCTTTGCAAACACTGAAGGAGGATGCCAGGTTGAAAACATGAGAATATATTTTTTTTAAGTTTATTTATTTATTTTGAGAGAGAGAAACAGAGCGCACAGATTGGGGAGGAGCAGAGAGAGAGAGAGAGAGAGAGAGAGAGAGAGAGAGAATCCCAAGCAGGCTCCACAATGTCAGCACAGAGCCCAACATGGGGCTCGAACCCATGAACCGTGAGATCATGACCTGACCTGAAATCAAGAGTCAGATGCTGACCTGAGCCACCCAGGTGCCCTAAAAATATAAGAATCTTAATCTTGGTTTAATATATTTTATCCCATTTACCCTTTTGTCCCTGTTGAACTACTAGCTATTTAGTTTTCTTTTTCCCCATTTTCCTTAATTTTCTTTAGCCTTTTTGTTATGGTGGAGAGGATCTTGGGGATAGCAAAGGAAGCAAGCAGCTAAACTTACCCAAGAGTCATGGGCCAGACTGTTTAGAATTTAAGAAAGTCCCTAGAAAAGATTTACCTTATCTCCCCACCTCCACACACTTTCTTTAATGCCACACAGAGCCTGGGTTATTGATCTTTGTTACAATGGTTGGCAGGGAGGGGGGGTAGTATATTCTAAGGGTCGGGTTGCTCTAAGCAGGGAAAGACAAATGATCATTTGCAGTTTCTTCAACTTCCTCTATTAATCTGTCTGTGCCATCATAGCAATAGGCCACAAGGCAAATATTAGTTTTATATCACCTTGCTTATGAACACTGTCGTGAGTAAATGCTTCCTAGCTAGGAATGCTAGGAAATGCTAGGAAGCATTTACTCATGAAATTTCTTTCATGAAGCATTTCTTCATGAAATTGGCTTTCTAAAACCAAGGGATTACGTTTAGATGCCCTTAACTATTTATGCGTATCTTCAAAAATCTCAATTCTAGGCCGTGGACTCATTTCCAATGGACAGAACTTGAAACTTCCAGAATAGAAGTCAAGATTCACTCCTACCAGCTTTCTTCATTTTAGAGAATTGTTTCACTATCAGGATGTGATTTGAGCTCAGAGAAGCTTATCTTTGGAGGTCTAGGTATGGGGTCCACTTTCATTAAATTCACTGGTAGTTGGGTCAATATATAAATGCTATCAAATAACCAACTGGTCAATCTGTTTGAATAAATTCCCTTACCAAAGTCTAAGAAAGGATGGATCAGGAGTGGGTCCAGGTTGTGTGGGCTCTGAGGCTTTGATGACTTGGGGAGACTTCTGTAAGAAAAACAATACAAAGTTACAAATGTAACTTTAAATTAGGTATGAAAATAAATATTTATTTAGGATGACAAATCACAAGTTATTCATTTTTTTAAAGTATACAGATATCCAAATTGTCACAGAATCTTGAAGAACACAATTTTATTAATTCACTTCCCAATGCACTTTTAGAATTGCAACATTTTTTGGTTGCCTTCTTTTTGCCTCTTCAAATGACAATAAATTTTTAATATCATTTTCTATAAAGAAAGTAGAGAGATAATAGTTTTTTCCCTTAAAATGATTGACTCAAAATTGATTTGTATCACTGATAGTTTAGAAACATTTATTTTGGCTTAGCAACCTTCTGTTGGTAATGCTATGCAAGTGTTTAGGATTTTTGCGAAATTAGAAAAAACCTCTTTAAACTGGGCATTGTATATAAACTTTACAATGTTAGACATTTGAAGTTTTCTTAGGCAGTCTAATCGGGACTTTATTTATTTATTTATTATTTTTTAAAATATAATTTATTGTAATTTAGCCAACATACAGTGTATACAGCATGCTCTTGGTTTCAGGGGTAGATTCCCGTGATTCATCGCTTATATACACCACCCAGTGCTCAACCCAACAAGTCCCCTCCTTAATGCCCATCATCCATTTTCCCCTCTCCCCCCTCCCCCCAATCAAACCCTCAGTTTGTTCTCTGTGTTTAAGAGTCTCTTGTGGGTTTGCTTCCCTCTCTGTTTGAAATGACTTTTTCCCCTTTCCTTCCCCCATGGTCTTCTGTTAAATTTCTCAAGTTCCACCTACGAGTGAAAACATATGATATCTGTCTTTCTCTGATTGACTTATTTCACTTATCATTATACCTTCCAGTTCCATCCATGTTGTTGCAAACAGCAGGATTTCATTCTTCCTCATTGCCAAGTAGTATTCCATTGTATATATAAACCACATGTTCTTTATCCATTCATTTGTTGGTGGACATTTGAGCTCTTTCGATAATTTGGCTATTGTTGAAAGCACTGCTGTAAACATTGGGGTGCATGTACCCCTATGAATCAGCACTCCTGTATCCTTTGGATAAATTCCCAGTGGTGCTATTTCTGGGTCATAGGGTAGTTCTATTTTTAATTTTTTGAGGAGCTTCCACACTGTTTTCCAAAGTGGCTGTACCAGTGTGCCTTCCCACCAACAGTGCAAGAGGGTTCCCGTATCTCCATATCCTCACCAGCATCTGTTGTTTTCTGAGTTGTTAATTTTAGCCATTCTGACAGGTGTGAGGTGGTATCTGAATGTGGTTTTGATTTGTATTTCCCCGATGATGAGTGATGTTGAGCATCTTTTTAATCTGACAACATTTTTTAAATACTGCAAATTGTGTTTCCTGCAACATTCATTTGCCTCTTGCTTTTTTACTTCTGAGTTGGGACTGTTTGAATATGATTCTTGTCCTCATGGTCATGATACTGATCCGCACGTTTTAGTTTCCATCATGATATAATACGAATTTTGGTAATATTGAAACTTTGCCAGTATTGTCTTTCAGTTTACATTTTGGCTTCTTTTGATCATATTTGAATTTTGGTATTATCTCTAATTCTGAAATAATATAAAATAAATCTGAAATTAGAGAATGAACAAGAGTAGTTCAAGTCATTTTAAGTTGGTGCTATATTGTATGGAGCTGAAAGTGTTCTAATGAAATGAATCTTACGTCTCATGCAGTCACTTATTAATAAATATTTCACTTATTTCTTTATCCATGTCACTAGGTCAGTGACAGTATTGTGCACTGTTTCATCTAGAGCTGCTAGACTTTATCCAGACAGTATGCGAGGGATATTCTTTTTTTTGAACTTAAAAAAAATTTTTTTAATGTTTATTTTTGAAAGAAAGAGTGAGACAGAGAGAGAGACAGACAGACAGAGTGCGAGCAGGGGGAGGGGAAGAGAGAGAGGGAGCCACAGAATCTGAAGAAGGCTCCAGGCTCTGAGCTGTCAGCATGGAGCCCAACATGGCTCGAACCCGCGAGCAGCGAGATCATGACCTCAGCCGAAGTCAGATGCTCAACTGACTGAGCCACCCAGGTGCCCCTGTGAGGGATATTCTAAGACATCATCTAACATCTTGGGATGTATACAACAATGGAACAGTTGTAGGCTTGTGCCCTACGAACATGGAAATTCTTGTAAATGTAATTAAAAAAAAGGATTCTCCTCAAAAAAGGAAAATGTATGGTCCATGTACATTTATGTATGTGGCACAATCAAGTACATTTTTGACAGGAGAAAACTTCAATTCTGATTGTGCATTAATGACAGTGGAATCTTCCGTGTGAAATATCATACAAATTAGTGTCTGACTCCCTACAGTTCATGCGCTGCTTTTCATTCACAAACAACACCATTCTGTTGCTGTGTCAATCGTAGGACATGTTTCCTTCTCACCGTGCTTTAGATCATGATGCCAGGTAGGTTGGCACAGTGGGCTGGAGGAAGAGTTTTGGAAGCCATTCCTTCACTGGGATGGCTGGTCACAACTTAACAGAAATGACTGGAAGCTGCCTAAACATATCCTATGAAACCCAAACTCGGTGTGTCCCCAACTCAACTTCTTGGCCAAAAAAACAAAATGATTCACGATTACACCAACATTACCCGGCACGGGAAAAGATGTAACAGATGGTGAATCAGGGTGGGAAGAAATAGTATCTAAATGATTGCAGTTTAAATATTTCTTATTTGCAAATTTGACAAGAATATGTGATCATATCGTATGTGGCCAGGTCTTCTCTAAGGGGCCTGTAAGGTGCAACCCCCATTAACCTCACAGGGCACTTCATTCTGGGGGCAGATCTGTCTCTCTCTTTCCTTTTTCTCTCTTAAGCTCACTCTGCAATGGCCATGGTGTGATTTCATCCTTTCAATGTGAGAGATGACCGTGGCTTATTTTGGGAAAGGAAGGCCATGGGATAATGGAACAATCGTCTAAATGTGGCACAAAGTTGGCCCTTCCATGGTTTTAAGGGCCAGTGAGTTCCCGTTTGTGAAGTGACTCTTAATTGTGCTTGTCAGCTCTTTCTAGCATTTTCTGTAGGAGGCAAGGTCCACTACTCCCACCACAGAGAGGCAGTGAAGCACAGTTAGGTTAAATAGGTTTTCCAAGTTTATATGGACTTTACCGGCTGCAGTGTTTAGGGAATGCTCTGTTCAGTACTTATTTAATGTAGGACTTCCCAGAGCCTTTGAGATGTTAACATAACATCAGAGTTGCTTCAAGAAGGGATTAGGGTATGCAGCATTTCCTAAATTTATTTGATCAAGAACCTTTTTTTTTTTTTTTTTTTTAACCCATAGGGTCTCTGGACCATGTGGAAAAATTCACTGTTGTATTTCCACTTTGCATCAGCCACCACCAGGTGAGGAGTTGAGTCTGGCAATCCTGCTTGAACCAACTAAGAATAAGCCTAGCACATAGAAGAAGCCTATCATGTTCAATGACAATACAGTTTTCATTAGAAACCTGTTCCTAATCAAATCACAATTATTCATGAGTCTGCGATGACAAACATTTATGTAGATTTGTTGGTAGATATGATTCGGAACAAGGTTTAAATTAATTCAAGCAACTCAGTACTCAAAATGATGATCTTTTTGATTCATCTCTGCTGTGGATTATAGACCCTCACAGAAATCTTAGACATTTGTCCCTGCTGTGCTCATGATGGCCCATAAAGGCATGAAGCCAGGTATGAAGGTGATTTACTGGGAGGAGAGAGCTGAGTTAAGTGAGAGTCAACCAACATTTCCAAAGGCAGTGGGGGTAGGGGTAACATGGAAGTGTGATAAACGAGAGAGGGCATCCACTCCCAACAGTGTCAAGGTTAGGAATGACGGCCATTAGACAGCCATGCTGCTGACCAGTCACCACGGAGCTTTTAACTGGAGGCAGTCTATTTTGCGACCCCTTCTTACCACCGAACCCAGCTCCTTCCGCTCCCATTGATCCATTGCAGCCCTGCTTTGCATGAAAACCGTCTCTTATCTTCCTAACTGCAACCTCTGCCTTAAGTATTTTTATTCCAGTGTATCTTCCTCACTGCCGCCAGAAATACCTCCCCAAAATGCAAACACAATCATACTCTGAACATCCGCCTAAGCTCTTTGGAGAAAAGCTAGGGTGCTTGTGTAGTGGGAAGAGAAAAGGGAGGGAGAGAGAAGTTGACCAAGGCTCTGATTATCAGGATGTATAGTGTGGGCCACGTTCCAGGCAAAGGCAGAGGTAATCAGTGCTCTAGCATCGCTGCATATAATATGCATGTGTCCCTGCGTCCTGGTACCTGCTAAGCTTCTCATTTGGATTTCCTTAAAAGTCATGATTTAAGACAAACTATTATAGAGGAATAAGCCAGTTTCCTTCCAGTGTGTATCTGAACCTCATCATCCTCAAACAGCCACAGTGTGAGGTGCAGTATATGCTTGCTTGGGTACCATCAGTCATAATTCCAATTCACTTTCCCATCCCCAATTTTCCTTAATGTCTTTTTTTTTTTTTGCATGAAGGAAGAGTCTCTCCTGGTTTGGCCTGGCTGGTGCTGGGACACAAGGCTTCCGAACCTCCGTTTCTGCCGTGAAAAGAAAAGGATGGGAAGAGAGGTGAAGAAAGAAGGAAAAAAGGTACTAAATAATACCTGTGCTCTATGCTCTGGTGAAGATTTTGACAAAGGTTTCTAGCCAGAATTAAGAATATGGAGGGGAAAATATAGATCGAAGGGGTACATGCACTCTGATGTTCATTGCAGCATTATCAACAATAGCCAAATGATAGAGAGATCCCAGATGTCCATTGACTGAGGAATGGAGAGATCTATGGTGTATAGATATATACAGTGGAATATTACTCAGCTGTCAAAAAGAATGAAAACTTGCCATTTGCAACAACGTGGGTGGAGCTAGAGTGTCTTATGCTAAGCGAAATAAGACAATCAGAAAGAAAAATGCCAACTGATCTCACTCATATGTGGAATTTAAGAAACAAAACAGATGAATATATGGGAGGTGGGGGAAAGAGGTTGGGAAACACACCATGAGAGATTCTTACCAATAGAGTACAAACTGAGGGTTGATGGAGGGGGGTTGAGGGGGGAAGACTCGGTGGGCGATGGGTACTAAGGAGGGTACTTGTTGTGATAAGCATGGGGTGTTATACTGTCAGTGATGAATCACTATTTCAACACTATTCAGTGATGAATACTGAAACCAGTATTTCAGTGGATGTTAACTAACTAGAATTCAAGTAAAAATTTGAAAAGAATATAAAAAAGAATAAGGAGAGAAATGAATGAAATTCCAGGTCCAAGGAATAATGTTAGGAGAACACCTTTGGGGATGCAATGGTATGTATTCAAACCTTGCTCTCCTGAGGTTCCAGTTAGTGCTGTGAAACCACCTTCCTGCTTGAAGCAGGCCAGATTGTCCATTAGCAAACACAGTCAGGTCCTCTAAGTGATTGTTGCAGTGCTAGATATGACCGATTAGGAGATACTCTCTGTTAGGAGATTAGAGCGTTATTACCCAATTTTATGAAATCACCAATGAGAAAAATGTGTTGCTTCTAAAACATTTTTCCCAGAAATTGTTGTTTCCCATAGAATTGCCCGGACAAGTTCCCATCTAGAGGGCTGATGTCCAGGCTGGAGAATATTAAGTGGGTTGGTCTTTTGCTTTAGCACATGAGTTCTCCAGTACTTGGGTCACAAGGATAGCAAATTATGGAAGGCCTTCTATCAGCCAAAGAAAGGAGAAAATGCAGGTAAAATAATCTGGTTGTTGGTGCAGGAAGAAGACAAAATGCATTCGTTTCTCTAACAAAGATATTCGCTCCCCTGCTATTAGATTTATACCGCTACTCAGTATCTGTGCATTCCAGCATGTACACTTTTTACTTAATGCCGAATAATCACACAAATTTTACTTATTTTTGAGAGAGACAGAGAGAGAGAGAGAGAGAGAGACAGAGAGACAGAGAGAGCCAGAGAGACAGAGACACAGAATCTGAAGCAGGCTCCAGGCTCCGAGCTGTAAGCACAGAGCCTGATGCAGGGCTCGTGAGCTGTGGAATCATGGCCTGAGCCGAAGTCGGACGCTTAACCGACTGAGCCACCCAGGCGCCGCGTGTCCAAATTTTAAATGCCTGTGAAAAACAAGCACAAATGATGATTTGTGCTACCAGCAGTGCAAATAGCTTAGCTAAGATGACGAGCATATGAAGATCCATGACCAAGTTTGCACACATGCAGATAGTTACAACTTCATCATAACAGGTGACAGTGACAGGGACTATATCTCATTGATGATGACATCAGTTAGAAAATGCATCTCAGTTTCAGAGACATTGAGTATGTGAGGGGAAACAGGCATCCAGTTTTAGATGAACTGTGGTAGTTACAGATATATGGGGTGACAAAGTCCTGCAAATATTTTCTAATCACATGGAATGAAGCTGAATAAATCTTGGCCCGAGCATATTTGACTTTAGGTGAATATATCTCTAATTCTGAATGAACACTGACTCATCGCAGCTGCTCAGTGAGAGCCTTTTTAAGAAACAAATGGGTAACTAAGGTTGATTTTTCTCCCCCGAAGGAGAAGGCAGAGTGTTGTCATTGCTGCTGTGGATTTATAACATGACATAAATTAAGTGTGGCCAAAGAAATATCACCAATGAGCTCATACTTTAATATGATTACTTTTATTTTTTTTATTCTATCCTGATGTTTATATATGTACCTTCTTAGTTTTAATACTTGTAAGTATAATAAAGAATGTAACATTTTCTACATTTCCCCTGAATGTTCTATCAAGACAGTATAATTATCATTTTATGGCTGTGTAATATTCCATTAAATTATGCAGAATAATTTATTTAAAAATTCCTTACTGCTATACATTTAGATTGATTCTGGTACTTTGCAATTTTAGATTGAGCTGCAAATAACATTATTGTGCAGTTGGCTTTTCCTTCTGTTGAGTTATTTCCTGAGGAAACATTCCCAGGAGTGGAGTTTTTGGTCGAAGGGAATGATACATTTTTATAGCCTCGGTATAAATTGCTATAAGAAACGTTGTAATAAAATTTCAGTGGCAATTTCTCCTCGAAGCTTCTGTAGGACAGGGGACTGTTTTAGCCATTTTATAATACTTGTCTTCTCCATTTTCTGGGATGTATATGTCATTGGAATCATGGCTTCAGAAGAGAGGGAAAAATGGATGATCTATATTGCTATGGCTCAGTCGCCACAGGATTCCCCAACTTTCTTACAGCCTGGAAGCTATAGTTCAGTTCTTGCCTCTGTTTTTCCAACTTTCTCAGCCCTGGGCAACTGGATAGAGAGCTCTACTGGATTCTGAGTTAAGTAATTATTAGGTAATGCACAGAGCAAGATTCCTTTTGAATCTTTCAGAACTAGATGGGAAGAGGTAAACTTTGTTTAAGAAGGCTGGCTTGGTGGGGCACGTGGGTGGCTCAGTCAGCTGAGCATCTGACTCTAGGTTTTGGCTCAGGTCATGATCTTCCAGTTGTTGAGTTCAAGACCCACTTTGGCTCCACATGGGGCTTGCTTGGGATTCTCTCTCCCTCTCTGCCCCTCCCCACTTGCTCGCTTGCTCGCTGTCTCTCAAAATGAATAAATAAACTTAAAAAATTTTAAAAAAAGAGGGCTGGGTTGGTTACAATGGAATTTGCATGATTACTTTATGGAATTTCTTTAATTCAGAGGGTCAGAATACTGAAGTTTGTTGTGTTGGATTCAAGATCACGTGTATAGTCCCAAGTTATAAAAACAACAGCTACAACCACCAAATTTAGAATGCAGCTAAAAGTTAAGGGCACTCGAAGGCTATATTTGAAAATCACGGAGCAGACTTCAGGATAGAAACATGCCCTCACTGGGCTGTGTGCCATTTTGGAAGTTTTTTCATAATACTTTAGTTTATGTCTGGGCTTCTATCATATTCTCCTCATGGCACTGAGAAAGTCAGTAACTAAAGCGATTGAAATATTTGTTTCCTATAATAACCAAAGGGGAAAAAAAACCCAGGCATTACAGTTCCTGCAGTTCTTACATGGGCTGTGTTCTTCCTGTAGGAGAGAGGCACCGTTGACCTATCTGTTGACCTAACCTAAGCACGCTCATGCTTGGAAATCCTTGTCTCCATGATATTTCTCAAGTCCGAGTTACACAAGACGTTAAGCTTCTTTTTGGGGAGAAGGCTATGTAGGGCCAGGGATGTCATCTGTAGCTACAAGAAAGCAAAACAAAACTATCTCTAGAGGATGTCATTGTGGTCATTAGGACATGGAACTTGCTGTTTGCTAACTTGTGTTACAATTGTCATTGTGCTAAATCTTAAAGCCTCAAGGCACAGTGTGATATCGGGTTATCTTTGAATATGTTATTATTGATGTTCCTTGATGTGTATGTCTTGATGTGTTATTATCCTACAATAAGGAAAAGTAGGGTACTCTTAGCAAAAGAAGAGGAAGGGATTCTGGGTAAACCCAACAAGTGGTCATTATATTAGGGGTGGTTCTAAATGCCAATAAGATTCAGTAAAAAGACGAGGTGGCCTTTCCTAGTGTTTTATTTTCTTTTGGATATGCTTTGCATTAATTCCTCTGTATTCTGACATTTTGAGTCATGTGTTTAGGAGACTACTACATTGTGTACTCTGTCTTGTACATAAATTAGTATAGCTTTAGATCAAAGGAAATGAAACCCATCATCTTTTTTTTAGTGTTTGGAATGATTTACCAGTTCTTATAAGAGCCTTGGTTTGTGGACTCTGATGTAATGGGATTCACGTCCACATAGAAGTTAATTCTGTAAGTTTGTAGTTGATACTCAGTGGTGTCCACGCCAAAAATAATAATGATTTTTCTTTTCTTAGCCCAACCTCTGCTTAACATACCAGCATAATTAACAGAGATATATACCAACAGCTCCAACTTCAAAGACTTTTCTCTTTTTTTTTTTTTAATTTTTTTTTCAACGTTTATTTACTTTTGGGACAGAGAGAGACAGAGCATGAACGGGCAAGGGGCAGAGAGAGAGGGAGACACAGAATCGGAAACAGGCTCCAGGCTCCAAGCCATCAGCCCAGAGCCTGACGCGGGGCTCGAACTCACGGACCGCGAGATCGTGACCTGGCTGAAGTCGGACGCTTAACTGACTGCGCCACCCAGGCGCCCCCAAAGACTTTTCTCTTGAGAGAGATTTAGTTGCTATGCTATGTGAACCTTTATATGCCCTTATTCCTAGTTGTGGGTGCGTGAGACCAAGTGGCTGCTCTTTAAACTTTCCCTAAGGAGTCATGAGCTTGTAGCTCACCAAGTAGCAAGTTTCCTGCTGGAATGAACTTCCCTGTTTTTTTAGTGATATGCTTTCTTAAGAAGTCTTGATTACAGAACTTGTTAGCCACTGGTAAGCACCTTCGAGATTCTTGAGAAAATGCAGGAAGAGACACGTTCTCTGAAGTTACTGACTTCTGAGTACACAGCCTACGCAGAGTCTCCTCAGAAATACTCGGTTTTCCTGTGGTCATGTGGAGAATTTGGACTAAAGCGTGATTGTTCTGTTAACTCTGGGGAAAGGAAAAAGTGGGTATGTCATGGGAAT